ATTTATCCTAATCATGTCTACTCAAAATCCTACGCAAGGCTATTCAATGGAACTTACTCCTAGAAAGGTGTTCTTGAGATTGCACTGTAATTTGCAGCAAAAAAATGTACATTCCTGTATGTGATATAAAATTGCACCAAAAAAAGTGCAGGAGTTACCTCTGCTCAGTCAAAACCATTCATACCCTTCTAGGGTTGCCAACCCCCAGGTGGAAGCGGGGGGATCCCTTGATTTCACAGGCACCTGTCTGCCGCCAGCCAGCTGGCCAGTGGGGGGGGGAAGCCTCACCTCCAACAACTGCGTGTGGTGGAGTGGGGAGTCAATCCTGGTTCTCCCAGTTTAGGGTCCACACACTTACCACTACACCAAACTGTAGTTGTGTGGTTACTATGTCTTTGACACAGATTTTACGTTGAAAGAACAATGTAACCATTGAAAACGTTTCATCAGTGCACAGGGCTCTAACACAAGAGTAGTGCTCCTTTTAGTCCAGCATCCTGTTTCACAGAGGAACCAAGAAACCATTCATAATGCTGCCTCTTAGCACTGGTTCTTAGCAGTTTAACTGCCTCTGCGACTAGGGTTTAGTGTTGCCTATCTGACTTTAGAAGTGGGTGAGTTGTGAAAAACGTTTCGATGAAGCTTACTTATGTTAGCCCAGTGTAGACGACCTGTCCATAAGTGGTGACATGAGGTGGAACGGTGAGGGAGAGCAGGCACAAGGGCGCTAGCTACACCCCTTACCACCATGTGATCTGCACAGTGCAGAGGGAGTGCCCACATGTAATAAGAATATAAGAGACGCCAATGTTGGATCAGGCCAAAGGCCCATCCAGTCCGACACTCTGTGTTACACAGTGGCCAGAAATACCAGGTGCCATCAGGAGGTCCACCAGTGAAGCCAGGACATTAGAAGCCCTCCCACTGTTGACCCCCCCCCAAGCACCAAGACGACAGAGCATCACTTGCCCCAGAGTCCCTATCTATACCTTGTGGCTAATAGCCACTGATGGACCTCTGCTCCATATGCTTATCTAATTCCCTTTTGAAGCCGTCCATGCTTGTAGCCGCCACCACTTCCTGTGGCGGTGAATTCCATGTGTTAATCACTCTTTGGGTGAAGAATGTACATCTCCTCCCTGTGATCAGCAATGCTGCTTTCTGAACATTGCTCATCACAGGGAGGGGGGGGCATGTGCTTGGGTACTTCCCCATGCCTTTGCATTTTGCAGATTACTTGACAGTTTCACAGAGGCGTTGGGGGGGCCAGCATGCCTGCTCGCCCTCACTGCTTGGTGGATCAATCCATGGATGTGTTGTCTGCACGGGGCTGCTGAGTCAGATTGCTCTGTCGAGGTCTATTTTGATCAGCAGCCTCTCATTTCACGTTACCTCCTTACTACTTGATCTTTTTAACTGGAGATGCCTGGGATTGAGGTTGGGCTCGTCTGCATGCAACGCAGATAGTTTACCACTAAGCCACAGTCCCTGCCTTTCT